TTTAGCTGTGTGGCTTCTCAAGCCCAGTTTCTACAGCATCTTCCCACATGTGCATACTTAGTGCTCCCAGTTGGCATTTTTACCCTTTTAACTCTTCAGTGTGTCCTAGCAAACCTAATTCTGTGGGTTTGCAAATGCACCTTTTCCTAATGCTCCTGCCTCTGTTTTGGGAGACAGGAATAAGGATGTGACTTTGTGTTCTTGTTATGGCTTGTTATTTGGGGAATGAAATACAGAATGATAGAATCATGGAATGGTGTGGACTGGAAGGTACCTTTAAGCTCATCTTGTTCCAATCCCTGCCATGGACACAGGCACCTTCCACTCTCCCAGGCTTCTCCAAGCTCTGATCCTGAACACTTCCAGGGATGGAGCAGCCACAGCTTCTCTGGGCAGCCTGTGCCAGGGCCTCACTGATGTCTTTGGTTTTCCCTTTTCTGGGAAAAGCATGGGACCAGTTTCATTTTATCCCTTCAATAATTGCAGATACCAGAGAGTCAGAGCAAACATGTCTTTTCACTGAATATTACCTACAGCATGGGGGGTACATGAAGTTGCCAAAATCACACGGTTGGCTTTTAAAAGGATTTTAAGGAAGTTTTTAAAGGTGACGTTTGCATGCAAGCAAGCAGTGGCTGCTTTTGTACTCCCAGGTATGTGTGAGTTGGGTCCCACTCCAGATGTGCCTTGTATAGACTTTTATGAGTAACTGGCTGCTCTGTATGAAGTTTTACAGTGGATCTGTGCTCCAAGCCAGGCAGATTCCAGCCAATGCCGTGTGCTGGGAAATGCTGATGGAGTTTGTTGGAGCACAGAGCTCGCTCATGTCTGGGCAGCATGAAGGGTGACTGAAATGGTAACAGTCTTCTGAAGGAAAACCTCTGCATTCAGACCAAGGGCTGCACAAGGCAGGGGCCTGGTTAACAGCTGCATCCAGCAGTTTGGTGGGAAAAATCTGAGCAGGGTGAAACTGTAGCTTTCATTTGGGCAGATGGAGTCCATCTGTTGATGGGATCAGGGATGGGACAGCATCCTCTGGAAAGCTGGGATTAAGATACACAAGCGTTGCATGCAAATTAGGCATCAGATTATGCACATGAGAAGCACAACGATCTTCTGGCATTTTGGTTGGCTTCCAGGCTAGGATTTGGAGTCCTTTATATGTAGTGCATGAAGGCAGCAGCTGATGTGCTGAGCCTCAAAAGATGCCTCTGCCCGCAATGTCCGGATTCCAGCAGGACCCGATGGAATGGCAGCACACACCCTGCTCAAGCTGTTCCCCTTCCCTCTGTACTCCTTCCACGGGACAGTGGATCCTTCTGCAAACCATTCCCAGCTTGGATAGAGGTGCCAAAGGACCTTGTGCAGGCTTTGCTCTGCCCATCACGCTGGCAAGGCAGGCCTATTAAGAGGTGACAGCTTTCTGGCTGCTGTGAGGTGCTGCATGACACATCGGGTATTGTGTGTAGGACTTCAAGAGGTCGCTGAGAGCTCTCTGAGTCATTTATTACCCACCAAAGTAGGTGAGTGACCACTGTTGTCCTTATCCTTTTAGAGAAGGATGCTCAAGCACAAACAGGTCAGGATATTTAGTGAAAGTCTGGAAGGAGGAAGTATCACAGCTCAGAAACAGTGCTTGGTCCCATGCTCAGACAATTATTCTTCACTTGTTTCTCTCTGAAATCATGTACTAAGCATTAGTGTTATTAAGGCTGGTCAGCTTATGCTGCATAAACACGATAATGTGAATTTAGTGTTTTCTGCTGTTTTTTGGTTGTCCATGAATCAATCCCGGTTCACCAAACACCTCCCACTGTGTCTGCATGATGAGCTTCCTCTCTTGGTGTTCTCCGTGCTTGGTTCATCCAATTCACATGGGGCTTTTTTCTGATTCTTGTTCAGAGGAACAAGCCTTGCTTTAAAAACAAAGAAACCCTAAATATTTGCTGCCAGCATTCCCTGGGGCTGCGTGGAAGGATTTGTTCTTTAGGCTTCCTGAATGGTTTCTTTGGTTTGCAGGAGCTCTCACACCGGTCCTGAACAATGTTGTTATTTGTGTCATTATTGCATCCAGACACTGGCTTGGGCACCAGTGGTGCAGGTGCTGGACAAACACTGAGCAGCTGGGTGGTCCTTCTCCCAAGGAACTCAGGAAATCAAGGTTTGCAGTGTGCTGCAAGTTGGATCTGTCTTCATCCTTCCGGCTCCAGTGCCTTGTGAGAGGTGAAAATTAAAGAACAGAGTGAGAAGGTCTGAGATGTGTATTTGAGTAATCCCAGGATAATGGGGAATAGAGGTATTCATACACATTCACTGGTATGATGTATAAATGAAGGATTTGGAGACCTTCTATCTGTTTGGGAGCAACTGGAATTCCTACTGAATAAGACTCAGCAATTCGTGTGACAACTAGGGTGGTCTTGATTTTTAACTGATGAAAGAACCAGCCTCTTGATCCTCAGCTTTTCTGCAGTATGTTTCTTTTTCTCCTCCTTTTCCCAGCCAAATCCTCCAACATACCCAGAAAAGCCTGTTCTTTTCCCAGCTGGCTGCATCTCAGCGGGCAGAATCTGTGGCCCTCTCCCATTTCAGGCCCGTTTGACCTTGCCTTGTAACCAGATGTTTCACTGGAGAACGTGCACTTGGGAGAGCCTGGGTTGCACTCAGCTGCTGGTGAACTCTCTGCCTCGGTCAAGCAGCTGTAAACAAAACCAGCCCAAGAAAAACAAAACCCTTTCTAAACTGAGTTGGCCAAGGACAGAGCTGAATCCAGAGATGCAGATGGCCATTAGTATGTTGATGAGGCTGCAGAGAGAAGCTCATCTGCCATCCCTGTTCTTCCACCATGGGTTTCACTCAGCTAAGAAGTTCTTCTTTTGGAGATTACAAGTATTGTTCCCCTGATTGCCAGGAGTTTGGAGGTACCTGACACACAGACCCTTTCCAGAGCTGCCCAAGGCACGTTGTACTGTCTGCAGCTGTCCGTTCATTTGAGTGAATTTTTGACCAAGAGTGTTTAGAAAGTGTTGGCTTGGTGGCCTGAAAGTCTCAGGAGGAGGACTCGCAAGAACACCATAGCAAAATTATGCATTAGGGACATTCTTTCTTTTAGAGGTGTGTTGGGATTATTCCCCTGGCATTTTTAGACATGTTCTCATCAGAAATTGTTCTGTCTTCTTCACTCGATCAGGAGGAGACATGAGGAATGCCTTTTGGAGTTAAAGCAGGAGTTTAGATTGTCAGAATGTTGTTCTTAGAAATTGGGAAGTGGCCAACCCTTGGAGCTCCCATTTTGCTCAAGATAGAGTGGGACGCTCATTAGCTGAGATGTGGGGAGAGCCTCACTTGCAAAGGAGCCTCTAGAACAGCATGGGGTCCCCTCATCCTGTAGTGAGAAGTTACAGGAGTTGGGGGCAGCTTGATTTGGACCTGGGGTTCAGATTTGAGAAGGCTTTTTCCATTTGAGTTGTGCTTGGCCAGGTTAGAGGATGGAGGCAAGATTTGCCTCATATCTCTGAACAGAATTGCTCCTGAGCCAGAGCCATTCTCCAGGAAAAGGGTGTATTGTCCTGAGATGAGATCTCTGGGAGAGGGATTGCTTGGCACACGGATCCCTGCTGTACCAGGGGGATGGATGCCTGGGACTGAGCACTGTACACACAGAATTCTGTTGATATCCACATCAGTGATTTCTCCTCCAAAAGGGTCAGGCTTGCCTGTCCCTGAACATCTGCTACCACTCAGCAGACATCCACCACTGTGTTATTTATCCAATATTCAGTCTTTTTTCAGAGGAAAATTTGCCATCTCCTGCTCCTATTTGTATACTACTCCACTTTCTACAGCCAAGTACCAGCTTGCTGTAGGAAATGTTGAGGTTATGTGGCTACAGCCCATGGGCAGTTTCTCCTCTGATCCATCTCTGGCACCACAAATAATTTTTAATAACCAGAGTGCTCTTAATCTACTCTAAAGTAGGCTAGATCTATTTAACCGAATCTGAGTATTAAAACTGGTCACAGTGATATCTGAGCACCTGTGACTTCCTGAGACCAGCTAGAATTCGGGACTGAGAAGCCAGTGGCTTTTCCTGTCCTTGCTGTACTGACACATCCCTTCTGGGGTGATTGATGCCTTCCAGAGATGGCATTAGGGTCAGTTACACCAAGGTAAGAAGTGATGAATGGGGCCACAGGGCAGATATTCCTTTCAGATTCCCAAATAAAAGGGTTTTCAGGCTCTCCAGAACTTGGCTTCAGCATCTTAGGGAGCCATTCTTCTTTTGTAAGAGGCTCTGGGAGTTGCATTACTCAGCCAGCTGGGCACAAGGAGAGAGCTGGAAAGAGGAAGGGATCTGCTAACACTGTTTTGCCCTCTGTGCTTAGATCGACACTTCGCTATGTTTTAAACATCCGCTTCATCATTCCTGCCGTCCAATATCCCACTATGGCCCCAGCAAGAGCTATTTTAATCCCCTATCATTCATCAGGAGGCCCCTTCCTGTTCCCTTTCTATCTGCTCCTGCATGCATGTGTGTGCATCTCTCCAGCAAGAAATCCCCCAGGGTGGCTGTTGTTGGAAAGGTCACTCTGGGATATTCACAAACAGCAGGTGTAAAATTAACAACTGGTACAATTCCAATCATCTGGCAGGAAGGAAAACATTGGACAATAGGTAGAGCCAGGGTAGAGTTTCCAGCTGAGGACTCATTGCCTGATATAGGATGGCAGATTGGTGGGCTGGGAACTCTCCTAGGAATGTGAAACTGATAGGGTATTAGCAGCCCCCCTGCCCCTCCAACACAATTGTTTTCAGCTTGCTCAAAAATATTTGGAAATGTTACTGAGCGGGACGTGTGGGCGAGAAGGCATCCTCCAGCCAATCAGCCGGGGAGATTCCAGCCCTCCCCTTGAATTTCAAGCTTTTGTTTTCCCTGATGGAAGGGAAGGTGAATCCTCCATGATTAATTTAGGGATCTTAAAGCATTTTGGATGAGTTCCTGCAGCGCACTAACAAGTGGTGCTCTCAAGGATTGCGGAAATTGCGGAGAGATGGCAAGAGAGATGGGTGGATATGTGAGTGATACGGATTCTGACACCTTATCATTTTTGTTAGTGGAACTGATTTTAGCTGCATGAAACAATGGGAGTTTCACTCAGTAAGGGCATCTGGATGGCACAAATCTTCTGGAGGCGTGAATGGAATAGTAGATCCTGTTAGACCTTGACTAATGTCAGCAACCAGAACGGCGGCTTGAGTCGAGGAGCAGAGGAGGAAGATTTACTGTGCTGTGGATGTGTCCAAGGAAAGCTGGCAGCACTGAACACAGGGAAGCAATGGGGAATGGCAAAGGCTGTTGAGAAGTTTGGTTTAAACCATGGTGAGCCGAGCTGTTCTGCAAGTAGTGAGCTGTAGCCATTCCCTGCATGGAGAAAGTTGAGTGCTGTAGCCATTCCCTGCATGGAGAAAGTTTGGATAGATGTTTTACCTGACACACAGCCTTTCCTCTGCTGGAGTTCTGGCCTATATGGAGTAAAAGTAAATGTATGAGTTGCTGCACCTCACATGCTCATCAGTGCCTACAGCTCTGTGTCTTCTTCAGTCTCCTCCGCCCCTCTCCTTCCCCACCCTCAAAGCTCTCAGCATGACGTGACACCAGGAATCCTTTGGCAAAATGCTACCACACCACAACCAGAACTTTTAGGTTCCTGTCCAGCTCACACAGTGTCCATCCTCTGTGTAAACCATTTGGTACAAGCTCTGTCCACCACGGCACAATTAGTGCTGGCAAAGTTCTCTCGCGGGTCTCTGAGCCTACGTTGGGATCCCGTTGCTCTTGCTTAGCTGGGATCACACACGTGGATTGTGCTGACGAAGGGTGCTGGGCTGAGAGGGGCCTGATAAGGCAGTGTGACCCTGACATACGTTGTCAGCAGCACTGCCATCGCCAGCGAGAGCAGGGGGAGGACTGAAATTCTCCCGTTCAATTGGGCGAATTTGATACCTTCTCGTTCTTGTGTCCTCGTGGCTCGGCCACTTGACATTTCTAAACATTCTCAAGCAAGTTCACTGGAAAACTATCCCATGTCAGGAGCTGGTGATGTCAAGGCTAATAACAGTCCTGGGGTCAAATCCTTCTGATCCTTCAGGCAAGGACCTCAAGATTTGGCTCCAAGTCAACAACAAGGTCTGTCACGTCAATGATGGCTTATTATGAATCCCAGCGCAAGCCTTTCCCAAACAAAGTGCTTTCGTTCGGTTTCCCATGCAGGAAAAGGTTAGCAGTTTCCAAAGGCAGGTTCTCCCTTCCTTGTGTGGAGTGGAGAGCAAAGCCAGTGAGCTTGGAATGGGCAACAGCACTTTTTCTTAGAGCAGGAGACAGGTGAATCTTTATCTGGGAAATTCTCTTCCCATTTGGAATGGTACAAGATTATTGTTTTCATTTCTAGAGGTACTGGGAGTTTTTTCTCTGTCTCTGTCCATCATTTGGATGTAACAATATCAGTGGGCTGCCTTTGTTAATGTTACAATGGACCTGAGAAAGCCGAACGAGCAGTACTGGGAAATGCACGGCTGGGTGTCGGGAAGGAGATAGCAGGATCCTACTGGCTCACACTCGTGCTGCACTGAAAAAAGGAACTGTAAATTGACATTCCCTTGGCTATTGCTTTCTAATCCCAGCACTGTGTTGAGAATGATGCCACTGGAATGGTGTCCAAAATGATAATTATAACCACTTCCTATTTTTAATTTCCTCTTAATAAGGGACACAGTGGTCATCATCAGAACAATAACGACTCTGCTGTGCCCTTGCAGATGTCAGAACATTGTAAAGCATGGATTAACAAACACTGATGTCTCTCTACAGACCTTCCTTGTGAACTGAAAACTCTGGTGCTCCCCAGCTGACACATATACCACCAGGTACAAACCTGAGCACTATGGGAAGTGCTGGACCTGCTTTGCTGTTGGCCTCATTTTGCAAGGGGGTGTTTGAATAATGGAAAAATAAAGTGATTTGCTCCATGTCCCTTGGTGAATCAGTGACAGAGAAGAGATCCAGCTGTTTACATCTCCCCATTTTTCTCTGTCAAATGCCCTTTTTTTTCCCCCTGTATTTTAGGATGCATTTGACATGACGTTCCTAAATATGTAAGCTGGTGTTCAGAATTGCTGAGTCCTCACTAGTTGCCCTCCAGGCAGTACCCAAACAAGATATCCATGGGGAAAGCTGTCTTGCCTTGAATATCAGCAACTACTAATAGTTATTTCTCTTTATAGACTCATCTATGTTTTTCAGATGGACTCCAGCTCTGCACACTCATCCAAGGCAATGCACACAGAATAAGCACAAGGCAATGAGCACTGCAGATATACCCAATTTCCTAAAGGTGACTATTTCCCATCTATTTCCCTCCTAAAAACCTACCTGGTGATAAGAAGTGCTTTGGCTGGGAGGGTTGTGAAAATTCTTAGCTAAGGGAATACTGCTTCATGTTGTTGGCTGAGTGACCCTGTGCTTCCAAAAAACTCCTGACTCCAAAGAAAGTGAATTGCTCATTTGGCAAAGCACTTATCAAGTGCTGGCTGGCTTCTAGGAAGTTTAAGTAGGATCTTTCTCCGCTGAAGGTCAGATTTCACATATCTCCTGAGATCTTAGAACCAGGGTGCTTCTGAAGGAGAAGCAGAAAGGAGAAGACTATCTGGGGTTAGGAACATCTGAGCAAAACTGCATTTTATGGCTCAGACAGCAATTCCAATTATCCAGCACTTAGGCATTGGGAAGATTGAGATAAGAGGTCTCAGATTTAGCTCCTTTCTTCTCTTTGCAAGTTAATGTGCCACTTTTCTTCGTATTTTTTTTAAGCAGACAATCAAATCTATGATAGCAAATTTCAAGTTAAAAGGAAAAAATTGTCTCTGCAGAGAATGGAAAGAACCATTTTGGTTCTAGGGTGAGTTTTGTGATCCACCTGAAGTACGGGTAGCTGTCATTGCACCCACTTTAAACAGAAGCTGGTGAGCTTCTTGCAGGAGTAGCTGGACAGAATTCTGTGGGATTTTTTTTGTAAAATTATTTGAGTGCATGATACATACCAAACTGAGCTGCTGTTATGCTTCCATCAGGCTATTTATACACTGTGACAGTGCAGGAACCTCGTTTTTGACTTCTGCCTTAAATTTGAAAAGAGTCAGTCGAAAATCATGTAGTTCCTTCAATCCTATTAAAATCTTCACAAAAACTGTGCTCCAGAGCCCCATCCATTTCTTCTCCATTGCAAGGGGCCAGATTTCCAAAGAAAGAGTTGCCATCACCAAGCCGATAGGAGCTGTCTCCCTTCCTTCCCTGGAGTATTTGTACAGGCCAGTCCCTCTCATCTCCTGACAGATTCCTCAAAGGAGAAATTCCCACTTTTCCACCTCTCCTCACTGCACAGCCACCCACAAACTGCTTCTCAGTCATCTCAGTGCTCGTAGATCACTAGCATATAGCAAAGATTTATGGAGCATGTGCAACCTATACACTAATCCAACAGCATTGTGTGGAGGCTTATATTTATTTTCTGGGCTGGATAATCATCATCTTTTGAAGAGCTTCTTCCTGAACACCTTGCTCCTGGAAGGCCATCAGTCCAATCCTGAGTCTACCAAGAATTATGGCTGGGAGCCCTGTTATCCTTCTGTGTGGTGCCTGTGTCTTTCTCACCCCTCCTGGCTGCTTCTGGTCACCTGGATATGTCAGCAAAATCTGCAGAGCTGCAGAGACAGCTGGTGTGAGGGTTAGACAGCAGAAAAGCTCTGCTTCTCAGAGCCTTTTCTATCTACCCCAGAGCTGACTGAGCCTCTCCCCCTGCTTGCCCTTTGTGTTACACTATGGAGTGGAGAGGAGCAATCCTCTGGATCCAGCACTCTCCCTACCCTTCTTTTCCTGCACAAGTTAACTCCCAGCCTTTGCTGCTTCTGCTCCAGCCCCCTTCTGAGCGTGCTCTCATTAAGACCCCAGAGGGAGGAGGTGATGCTCTGAAATTGTCTTAATTGCTCTTGTTTATGCTGGTTACGATGGCAATAAGTTGCCATGCAGAGGAGGCTTTATTCAGATGTGCAGGTTCTCCATTGTTCCATACTTTGAAGGATTGTCTGTAGGCAGCTCCAAGTCATTTACAACAATAGATTAATATGAAGATCAGTAATCCTGGGTGACTCACAGTCACACACATGCGAGACCCGCCAATCGCTGTGACCTGCCACTGGGTTTGAGGGGAGGTTGAATGTTGCTGGCATGTTCTTGCAGGATGCTGAGGAGATAATGCTGTGCACTTGCACAGCTTCTGCTCTCCAGGAGCCTCCCAAACATGAATGGAGAATGCTCTCTTTCTAGGGCAGACAATGACTCTTACACTTGCTGGAAAGCAGGGAACTGGGGCAGTGTGTGCCTTTTGTCCAGTGTAAGTTAATATGTGCCAAAGTTTAATCATGGGTCAGAAATCCTGACTTTTAGTCCCTGTTCTATCTTCCAGGCACTCTATCACCCAGGCCCTGATAAGCTTTTTTTATGCATGTTGTGTGCTGCTTGTTCTGTGTCCCATTTATCACCCTTGGACACCTCTGTCTGACAGGTTCCTCTCCAGACCTCTGCAGTTCAATGCTGGGATCTTCATTTGGCAGAAACCCACTGGAGACAATGTTGAGACACCCCAGCTGTGGGTTTGTCCCTTCTGCCACACTGTTCACACTTAGAGCCTGTGGTGGGACCGACTGCACTGGACTAGGAGCACTTTGCTTTCCATTCTTACTTTCCTGGATAATCCCACTCTCCCTCACTGATCCACCCTTGACTCAAGAGTTGTGTGTGCCAATTTCCCCCTAAATCCTTGGCTCAGGGATATATGTTCCCTGTATTCTGTCCTTCACCCTGGACTCACCATTCTCCTTCCATGTGCCAGGCACTCCACACCTCTCCTCTCTCCCTCATCCATCACTCTCCCTGCTGTCAGGGACACATCATTCCCCCACCTTTCCTTTCCCCCATGCCAGGTGAAACAGGAGATGCTCGCTCCTATTTTTTCCCTGTTTGGGAGATACATTATTTAACAGCAGGGAACACAGGCAGAGCTGTGAGGGAGGGTTGTGCTAGAAGGGATTAACAACTGTCATCAACCTGCTCTTGACTCTAAAGTCCATTACAGAGCTGGGTCAAGCTGTTGAGACTCCTCACCAGATTCCTATTTCCTGCCTATTTTCAGTCCTTGGATGCTGACAACAGCCCCATAATTTCCAGTGTCAGGTTTGGTTCTCTGTGTTACCATATTGCAAGAACTCCAGCAGACAGACAAGTGCAGAAATTCTTTCCAGCTGAGTGTGAAAAATTGCCTCGCTCAGTCCATAAGTAATGTGCCTTGTTGAGTTGAGCTAATTTTCCTCCCTGTACAAAACAGTGAGGTTTCTGCATAATTTTGTGCATTACAAAAACACCAGATCTCAAGGGCTCCATGGTGGGCCAGGCCCCAAGTGTGTTACTGAGCAATTACTGAGTCTTCACCTGCCTCAAGCTGAATAAAACCTTGAGGGAGCAGCTGAGGACCTGACCTCTGCTTTTCCATATTCATACAAACAGGAGTGAGTTATACTGGGTCAGCAAAGGGCTGATTCAGGATCATGTCCTGTGATCCCAAAAGAAGGTACCTAGAATAGACTAGGAAGCCTTTTCTTCCATAAATATGTATTTAATGTAGAAATATAACTTATGTAAATGGCTAGAAGTTCTGTGTAATTAGTAACCTTCACTGGATTTCTCTTCCACAAACTTTTCCAGGTTCTTAAGTTCATATATATTTTTAGCCTTTTCAGCATCCTGTGGCAAGGAGTTCCTCAGCTTAACCACATCTCCTTCCTTTTGAACCTGAGATCCCCCCCTTCCTGGGAGGTTTTGAACCACCCACTTTTCACAGTGGTACACATTCACAAAGATCCTGAATTAGTCATATATTTAGCGTTAATTTGTTTTCTAATATCTCCTTCCCTTTGAAGCCACCATCTGCTGTAAACCTGCCCTGCAGCATAGTCACCACCCTGGAAGGAGAAACACAAAAGAACTTGAAGCTCTTGGAGTGAAACAGTGCAAAGCACCTGCATGAGGTGCCAGTGGTCACCTGTGAAACAGCTCCCTTGGAGTCACCACGTGTTGTCATCACCAGACAGTGACATCTCCCATCTTTGGAGCAGGCTTGGCTGTGGATCCAGAAGAGGGCAATGGTGACACATCCTCACGGAGGCTCCGAGCACCAAATCCACTGAGGGCAGCCACGGCAGGAATGGAGCCAACAGCCAGACCACCTTGGCTAGTGGATCTGCCTGTTCCTGGCTGTTTCATGGCAAGCAGATTGAAGTGGGAGGCAGCTTTCAGCTACTGTCTCAGGTCAGATGGGACTGTCAGTCAATTGTTAATTATGACTCTTCTTCTTACTAATTTCTCTAACTTCTATCACCATGGCAGCTAACTGCCATGGAAAGACTCAGACAGAAAAAAGAGAAGACAACCAAACTTTTCATAGCAAGGGAACAGGAATGAGCTACAGAGGAAAGGGGGTGGAGGAAGAGATCTGTAAATTGTTTTCCAGGAGAGTCTAACACAATGTTCTGAATCCTAAAATGGCTTTTGTTGAAGGAACCTTAAAGATCATCCTGTTCCAACCTCCCTTCCACAGGCAGGTACACCTCCCACTAGACCAGGTGGTTCCAAGCCCTGTCCAACCTGGCCTTGGGCACTTCCAGGGATGGGGCAGCCACAGCTTCTCTGGGCACCCTGTGCCAGGGCCTCAGCACCCTCACAGGGAATAATTTCTTCACAATATCCCATCTAACCCTGCCCTCTGTCAGTTTGAAGTCATTCCCTTTTTTCCTGTTATCACATCTGCTCTGCCCTGACCTGGTCAGTCAATCAGTTTTAATCTTTGGTGATGGCTGTGTGTCCAGAAAGGGCAAGGGGAGGAAAAATTTGACAGCAATTTGGCTCTGATTAATTTTTAAACTTCCTCCCTTTCTGCTTATTTTGTAGCTTTTGTCCTGGTGCTGAATGTGTTCTTTTCCCCATGTGTCACTTCCAGAGGAATACTGTGGAGATGAAATGCCAGTTGGTCATCACAGGGCATTTCACCTGTGGGGGCTGGATGGAAACTCGCAGGCTGGGGCCATACAGGGCCCAGGGACAAGTGGTGACTTCTGTCACTGCAGCAGCTCTCAGGAGCACGGTGACACAGTGCCTGAGTACATCAGTAGCACGGGCAGAGCAGGTTGTGTGGGATCAATAAAACAATGGCCATTTTGTTGCTGTTTTGCAGCAACACCACGTAATACTTGCTGAAATCACTGGCTGGTCCATTCAGCAACTTTCATTTCTGATTAAGCTTTCCAGCCTGTAGGTATCTTCTCTCACACCTGTCTTACCATTTCCATTTGCAAGGGCTTAATTTAGAAACCCATTGTACTTGGGCCAGCACAGACGAAGCTAATTTATTTTACATAATGCCTCAGCACTTTAGGAATCAGTCTTGTTTTAAGTCCATCCTGGAGGGAAGGATGGACTTCTGCTTCAGGTTTTGGATTGAGTTTTGAGAGAAACAGACCCTGTTCTGACAGTGTTCACAGATTTCCCTAGACCTTTCCCAAATCACTTACCCTGCTTTGAACCTAACCTTTGAGTCTGGAAAATAATCAATATGGCAATTTCCTTAGCTCTGGTTTTAGGATAAACATAATATCTAGACAGCATCAAAGCCCTTGTGTTCTGTGCTTTAGAAGCAGAATAAAAAGCTGATTTCTCTGCTGGGGGACTTTGGCGCACAAGTGCAAGACGAGGACAACAGGCAGGTGCAAGTCTGCTGAGAAGGAATGCAACAGGGCAGAGCTGACAGGCAAACAGACCCTGGGCATTGCTGCTGCCAGCTTTTCCATCGGCATCTCACCAGGGATGAGAACAAATCTCTCTGTGGGCGGGCGCAGGAAGCGGCCCCCGAGCGCGAGGGAGAGGCACGGGACAAGGGCGGCTTGGGAATCCTGGTGGGAGATCTTCCCAGCAAACCTGGGCCACGGGAGACGCCGTGATGTGCCCGAAGGAGGCACAAACAGCCCCCTCCTCCTTGGCACAGGACTCAGCTGTGGCAAATCTGATCTTTTTGTTCGCTCGAGGCTTTTGTTTGTTCACTAAATGCCCCCGGACTTTGCTTTTCAAGTCTCTTCCTTCTCTGTCGTTGTCACTGCCACGGCAACAGGTGAGTTTGAGAAGTTACACGTGGGGATGATGAGCTGCACTGAGGAAATGACTCAAATCCTTTGTAGACCCCACTGGAGCCAGTAGATCTGAAGACAGATGCCCTCCATCCACAGAGCTGTGAGCATGGATGAACCGTCCAGTGGCTCCGTGCCCTCCAGAGCTCTCATCACCATCAGTTGAGCTCTTCCCCACAAAACAGCAGTGGAGGAAGCTCCAGAAGTGTCGCTTCTTTATTTCAGTGCTGCCACACTCACTGACGTCCTCGCTGAGCCTCTTGCAGCAGCAGGCTGCTAATCAGGAACTCTGCTGCTGCTGCTGCTCATCAAAACCTCTTTGCTCGCCACTTTGGCATCATTCTGGGAAGCCAACAGAGCGCAGAGATGCTCAATTCCTCCCCCTCCACACACCTTCCATTGTCTTCAGGACTGACAGCTCTGATGTGGAGCAGTGATAAAAGCCAGCTGATGCTGTCAGGGCCTGGTACAATTGCACTGCAGGGAAAAAGGCGACTGGCTCTGAGTCATCGGAGCCGCCTGGAGCTCAGGATGCCTGGCACACGTGCTGTCTCCTGGCACGGCTCATCACACAGCAGTGCACCTCTGGATGCTCCCCTCTGAGGAGGGGTTGACCAGAGGGTTTGAGAAAAGCCTGGGCTGGTGGCCAAATGCATGGCCAGCCATGCTTTGAGGTGCTAGAAAAACTTACAGGGGTTAAAAAAATGCCTCTGAGGGAAGAAGCTTTTCCTGATCTCCAGCCTCAACTTCTCTGACACAGCTCCAGCCATTCCCTGGGTCGTGTCCCTGCTCTCAGAGAGCAGAGATTGGAACTGCCCCTGTGCTGCCTCTTGGGAGGAGCTGCAGCCCAGATGAGATCTGACCTCTGCTGAAGCCTTTGGTGTGTAAGGAGCAATAAAGGTGCTTGGTTGGCTCTTCCTGTGCTTGATCTGTGTTTAGGGGTATTTAGCAAAGCATTTGTGCAACCCCTGAGTGGCAATCTAGGAAGTAACACCTCTCCTTCCACTCCTCACATTCCCATCCTTATGGAATGGGCTGAGTTGCGGTTGAATTTCTGGAAGGCTCTAAATGAGAGGGATCCAGACTTGAAAATGCATCAGGAGTGCCAAGCCAAGCCAGGAAGGACATTCAAATCAGGGAAATTGGACTGTGATGTGAACTTCTCAGTGACCTTGAGTAAACTGGCTCAGTGCTGCCCAACCTGCCCAGGTCAGCAGCTGAAATTTCCATTACTGAAAGCAGAAACTCAGGGGTCATTTCTGTTTCATTTCTCACTTTTTCCCAAACATGACATTGAATGAGAGGCATTAGGAGTTCCTCCTATAAATAGGATCACCCCTGTCAAAGCTGGTTAAGTCATAGCCAGTGTCAAGCCCATAAACAAGGTGCCTCTCATGCACTGTCTGGAGGGTGCAGAGGGGGTAAAGGGAAGTTTGACAGCTCCCTGTTTGACCACTTTGCACGGGGACATTGCTTTTTGCAGGGCAACAAACATAATCATCCCCAGCTCCCATCTGGAGGATTTTTGGAAGTGGTGCAGAGGCAGAATAGTTGAGGACCACTGCTCTCTGTTGTAGCACAAGTGAACTCTTCCAGCTCCCAACCTCACAGGTGCTGGGCCCTCCATGGCTGCTGTCATGGCAGGGGTTAAACACCCTGATTTCATCTCTTCCTTCAAGGTCTTTCCCCAGTTCTGCCCCAGAAGTCTGGGATGAGCTGGAAACCCTACACTTCCACTTGTCTCTGTTTCTCCTGGAGGGAGCTGCAGTTTCCTCCTCCTTTAGAGCTTCCCAGTTCCTCTTCAGCTCCACGAGAAGCAGCAGTTCCAGTGACATCCGTGACAAAGCAGCTTTGCCACGTGGGAAGTCAGCTGGGGCATGGCAGTGAAGCCAGAGACACAAAGCAAAGAAGGGAAACAAGAGAGTTGTAAGTGTCCCCCCGTGCCAGCTGCAGGGACATCTGCATGGAGCTGGCTTGGCAGAGCTGCAGGGTCACCAGGGTTGTGCGTGGCCGTGGTGGCTCCAGAGCAGATACCTCAGAATAGAAGGAGCTGATGGAGGTACCTGAGGCTCCTTTACTTTCCTCTTCCCCCACCCTGGAGCTTCTTTCCACCTCTTCACCAAACTTTGTGTTGCTCTGAGATTGGGGCTGCTCTGCTGAAGTGATGCAAGTGAATACGTCTTAAAAAAAAAAAAACAAATTAAAAAAAAATAATTCCTGTGGTCTCATTTCCCCATAGATCCACAAGCAGTTGCATCAGTACAGCTGAGGGGGTGGAAAACTGAAGTGGGGGCAGAAAAGAGAACAAAAACTTTCTAAGTCAGCTTTGAAAATGTTCAGTGACTATATGGAGACCCGCAGCCTCTCGTCCCCTCCAGACGTGAAGAGCTGTCTGGTGCTCGTGTGTGGAGCCAGGGAGCAGAGATGATTTGTTTGAAGCTGAACTGAGAGCAGCTTAGCAGGGGAGGAATTGCTACTTATTCTGAGATAGGCTAATTATATTCTGTGTCCTTGGAAGCCAACCCTTTCCTACTCTGCTTGCATAATAGAGATCCTATAGCTTCGTACAGAAGCACCAGGGTTCCCTCCCATCTCTGCTGCATCTCTGCCTGTCCCACTGCCAGTCTCCACCCCAGAAGGGTCTGGATGTCAGTCCTGCATTCCCGGGAGGGCTGCTGAAGCACTTTGGATTCCTGGGAGATGGAAACCCTTCTAAAAACGCAGGGTAGAGTTACTCTAATTCCTGGCTGTTGGGGATCAAGCTGAAGCCTGCTGCTTAATGGGGGATAAGTGGATGTAATGCAGTCAGTCAATAACTTTATGCACACATGCAGAGCCCTTTGGATTACTGATTTCCAAAAGGCAGAGTCTCCCTCACAAGCCCTGCACCACACTGAGTCAGCCCTGAGCCTTTTGACTTTGTATTTCCTTCTTCACCTGCGCTTTTATTCTTCCTCCCCTTATTCATTTTTTTCCGCACTTATTCATTTTCCCCCCTCAGAGAAGTTTTCAGCTTGTCAAACGACTCTCCCTCTCCCTGTCTCTTTTCTCTTTGCCTTTTGCAGTGGGAGGAAAGATAATAATAAAAGGAGCAGTTTTCAAATAAGAAGCCCCACGTGTTACCTGGGAACTGTCTCTCAGCATCCAAATACCTGCTGGGGCAGAGAGCGATGAGTCCCTGCTGCTGTTTTGTACCCACCAGACACTGTTTGTGTTTTGTCACAAGTTCCTGTCAGGTCTGTCACTTGGTACAAGCAGGACTGGCTGGGCCCTTGTAAAGTAGGATTTCCCTTTACACCTCCCTGCTAAGCGCTCCTCACTCCTTCCCTTCCTCCTCACAGGGATAATTGCTGCTCCAGCTGCTGCTGTGGTACTTCCCAGGCTGGAGGAATGGGTTTGGGAGTGTTTGTGCTCTTTGCCTTGCTGCTCTAAAATTCTCCTCATTTTTGGGAGCCTTTTAGTCTTGGCTTATGTCTCTGTGGGGAGGGAAGGCTGAGATGAAGGAGTCTCTGAACCTCTCTGTCTTCAGTCCCTGCTCGGCTTCAGGCTGAGCCCTTCCCAAGTCCAGCACTTTTTATGGCCTTATGGAACTGCTGCTAAAAGGAGAAATTTGCAGGAGAATGAGATCCAGACCAAGGAATTCCTGCAAGACCAAAGGACCTGAAATGGCTCCCTTGGGCCCCCCAGATGGGGAGGTACAGGAGGGAATGGCTCACGCTGCTGCACTTATCCCAGGCCTCTCTGTTCCTCCCAGGCTCCTGGCTAAAAGGCTCATCTGACTTTTATGGGGCTGGAGAGACCAAGCAAACAAAGCCTCAGGGTTTAGTCAGCGCCGGCGGGTACAGCACGTGCCCTTTCCTTCTCTCCCCTCCTTTCTTTCCTGCTGACAGCTCCCCGAACACATCTGGAGCTTCTCCTCAGGAATCAGCCTCAGGACTGGGGCAGCAGGGCATTTCTCACCATCCCGAGTGGAGGCTGCTTTCTCTTTCACCTCCAGGACTTCTCAATACCTTCTGGACCCCGAGGAAGCTGAGAAAGGCAGGGAAAGAAGGGGAGGGGTGCTGGAAGTGTCTTGGAGCATGAAGATGCTCTGTTGGTGGAGAAGTGGCTCAGGCATGAGCCCAAAGGCTTGCAGGCAGAAGGACAGGACACTTCCCTCCCTGCTCTTTCCCAGAGCTCTGACTTACAGCCACAGCCTGTTCCTGCCACACCACCTGTGCTGGGGGTCAGAGGAATTCACACACCTCGACTTGGGGTCCCCACACCCTCAGGGTCCCCCGAGCTGAGGGTCTGCTGAGGAGCTGCAGCAGAAAAGCTCCTTTCCCTACCCACTTCTGGGTTTTGTTGGCCGTAACAAACCTCTCCCTTTGCTGCTGGGACTGTGCTCTGGGGCTGGGAATGAAGCATTGCTCATCCTGCTCATTCCCTCCTTACAGGAGTTTTGGGAATCTTTGTGAATAAGCCAAGAACACGAGAAAGAGGGATTCCTCCCATTCCAGGCCCTGCCTGACACTGCACAGATCCTTTGTTCTTGGCTTCTTTCTCCCTCCTAAGGCCTCAGAGAAGTTCTTCCAACAGCACAGCCCCCCTGCTCAGCCTCTTCCTCCAGTTAGCAGCTGACCAGGAATAATTCCATCAATTAGCCCATCCCTTGAGGATCTCTTTCCCCAGGTGCTGGCAATGCCACTTAAGCACCAACAGGAAAGGAACATTCAAGAGCTATAAATATACAGAGATGTTCGAGTAGGACCTCTTTGTTCTTCATAACTTTGTGGTACTCCTGGTTTCAGCTGGGCCACGGAGAGCTCAGGATCAGCCCTTATTCAGCTTCTTTCTTGGAGCCCTGCATTCTGGGCTGTGCTCCCAGAGTGGAATCAGACCTTTCTGGCATCTGCTTTCTCACTTTATTTTTTTGAGGGATTGTGTGAGGGTGCCCAGAAGGCTTTGAAGCCACCCATGGCATCCTGTGATCAGGCCAGGCATGATGGATCCAGGATGGTAAGAAATAGGCTGCATGTGTTGCAAAGGAGACTGTTCAATAAAATAAACATCCTCAAAGGAGAAGAAAAGTAGCAGGAACGAGTACAAGAAAGGATGTTTTCAACCCTTGAAGGGGAATCTGGAGAAAGAGAGATCCTTTTTAAGGTGTAAAATGGTGTCAGTAGGAACACAGTACTGTTACTCCTTTGAAGAGTTAGCTGAATTTCAGTTAGCTGAAAATGGGAGGATGTGCAGGTTTTCCTAGTGGTGATGGAACAGAGGGAGGTTCCTTTGAAGTTTTCTGATCCTACAAAGGAAGGACACACTCCTGCCCACCTGAGCCCAGCAGGAATCAAGCATAGAATCCTAGAATGGCTTGGGTTGGAAGTGACCTTAAAGCTCATCTGGTTCCAACCCCTGCCATGAGCAGGGACACCTTCCATTAGACTAGGTTGCAGGGAATGTGACCACGCTCTGCCCCATCTCTTATCTGGGCCATGTTCTCAGAGCCCTGCCCAGCTGAGCCTTGCTGCAGGGAAAATGAGGGAAAATTGAAAATTAGGGATACCCAAGTGGAGGACAGTGAAGGGAAAAGGATGTGATATTCTTCTGACATCTACTTTTTTTGCTGTGGTACCAGGGACTGAAAGCTGGAGGGTTTCAGGCTGTGCAGCACCAGGTGGTCTGAGGG